CAAAATTGAGTTTTAAGAATAATAAAAATAAATGTATTAATTATGTGTCAATTAATTTTTTGATATCCTATATCAACGATTTGACACTGTATGTCTATATAGCCAATTTTTCTAGTAGTGTAATTAATTGGATCTTTCATTAGAAAATAGTCACTTGAAGGATAGATTTAGGTCATTCACCATTATACATCACCTTTAATATCACATTTTATTTATTTATTTATTTTATGTTAAAAGTGTTGGCCAATTGGGTTTTTAAAAAACTACGAGAAAAAACTCCAATGTTAGTGTTACCATTGAGTTTAGCATAAGAAATTGAAAAAAAGGATGAGGAGAACCAAATTAAGCCAACTAAATTACAAGTGGCGGCCCATCAGCTTATAAAGTCAATTTAAAAACAATTTAAAAATGAGAAATATCCTAATTAAAGTAAAGAGTCTTTACTAATAAGATTATACGTATTTGTTAAAAAATTTAGATATTTTCATTTTATATATCAAAAAGAATATAACTTAATCAAAATAAAAAATCTAGATGGTATACCTGTATCTTTCACCAGAGAAATTGCAGAAAATGAATAATGATAACCAAATCAGTTAGGCCAAGAGAATTAGACGTAGCAGCAAATCAATTCAATTGCACGGCTAATTTTGTTAGATGATAAAAATTGTAACCAGCTAAGCAGAAGAGGAGAGAACTTGTCCAAATTATAGCTGGAAATTTCAAGGGAGAGATGCCTGGAAAATGCCAATGAAATGAATCTGCAAAAAATATCCAATGAGGTTACAATAAGAAAGGTGCAAAATTAGTTTATTATTATAAAGTGATCAATAATTGAGCTACTGCTTCCTATTATAACATATAAAAGAAAGACCTAGGCATGGAGGGGGAAAGACAAAATGATGACATGTCATGTGATAAATTTTGATTAATTTATTTCAACTGAAATATAAAAAAGTTAATTTCATTCAATTTAAAAATATAAGAGGAGATTTATTTTAAGATAGATAAAAATATATTTCGGTAATCTTAGAAGTAAATGGGTAAATATACTATTTTCATCTTTTATCTATTCTAAAATAAGATTCAATCATTTGTCTTCTCCTTTAAATAAATATTTTCCTCACTGTTCAATATTTTCAAAAAAATTTATCTTTGAAAAAGATGATTTAGTTGTTAGGAATCCCTTCACTTACTTGATAAAAACCCAATAAAAATTAAGGACAATGGTAATTAGTCTTGCAAAATGTAAGATGCAGTGCATGATTTAACATTGTTTAAGGTGATAATTTTGTATGGGAGAGACTGGTTGCAAAATATATTTCAACAACATATATTTAATAAGTCTCTAGCAGAGTAATGATGTGGCATGATGTTATTATCTGTCTTGCACCAAAAAAATTTTTTGTTAGTTGTCTCATCCAATTAATTAGCAAGGCAATTTACCTATGTTTCGTGTAGAAGTTTGGATCTATCAACTATAATTAAAAGGTGAATTTAGACATTCTATCTTTATATATCAACCAGAACATAAGATAATCAAGATTGAAAATAAAAATAAATAATGTACCT